TATCAAGTTGAACAAAATGTGAAAATTTCTGGTTATTTTCAGAGAGATTTAAAAGCAGATGTAAGCTTTATTAACTAGATAATGCATTACATGTTTCTTTTTAACAATATTCTGTCGTGTTTCAATTTTACTACATCCCATATATCAACTTATTTTTTCTTACAAAAAAGTAAAAACTTGGCAACGTTTTGTGAGAAAGAACGAATTATACAGACCAAAAGTTTCTTCCCACCTATTTCTTTCAATAAAACGTCAAAATATAAAAAAAGAGCCAATTTCAAGTTAAATTAAGTTCAGACGTGATTTTTTCATTATGTTTTAAAATTATTTTTTTGCGTAATTTAACTTGTAAGAAAAAAGATTTAAAACCTATATAATAAAAAAGTTTATTTATTTATTTATTTTAGTAGAAAGTGAATTTTGGTCGCAGGATGTAACAAAATTGACTGAAAGGATATGAAAGGAATTCACATAAATGTTTGCAGTCTGTGCAGGAGGAAAAAGTGAAAAAACATTTTGATTAGCTAAATAATCCTAAACCTTGCCAAGTCAATTATCATGTTTCTCTTAACCAAGCAAACAATCATCCTGTATAAAAGAGAATCTGTATAAATCCGTGATTCCCAATCCATGCTGGAAATTCGATAATGAGTTATTAACAGTGAATTTTTTTGCATTTTCTTTAAACAAAAATTTAACTTTCCAATTTTTTTCTTTCCCGGATGTCATGTTCTTTGGAAACTTGCTTAGACCTTAAGGTTAATTGCTTTTTAGGCTTCCTCCACGCCAGAAATTCACTTTTTGAACAATAAGAATTATGTGTCACCGGAGTGGGGCAGAATTTTAGAGATGCTTAGGTGGGGCATGGCCCTAAAAAAAAAGGTTAGGAACCACTGGCATAAATGAAATTGTAATTCAAAGAAACGTCAAAAACAACGTGTATCCACGACGTAGCTTACTTGATCGTCGAGAGCTTCGCTGGTCGTCTGAGCTTCGCAGTCTCGCATAGCGTGACGATTTTTGGAAAACCTGGAAGTTAACCTAAAAGTTAAAGAACCGAAAGAATGTAACGGCCGGCCGGTCGCGCGTGCTTAGTGGGGCAGAGCCGGTGTACAACACTATAGTCCCGGGTATTAATAGTCTGCGGAGCATGGGCCGAGTACCGTTAAGGCCGAATACGATACACTTCGGTATCTTACTTAACGGAGAATGCCTTGTAAGAGCGAAATGCGTAGAGCCGCGAGGAGGAATCATCGACAGACGCGCTAGTTCAAACAGCGTGGTTTGTTTGTATGTCGTTGATCCCGGCTCGATTCTGCTCGAATAACGTTCCCCCCACCCCCGCTCTCGCTGGCGACTTGTTGGATCTGTGAAATACTGGCGCGGGTCGTCTGTTTGCTTTTAGGTTAAGATTTTAATTGAACCGCTGTAACGACAAAGCCGAAAGAGTTTTCCGTAGCAGATAAAGTGACACGATTAAGAGAATTCAATCTCGAATCGAATGTACGAGGGGAAGTGTGAAAGGAGGATCGTTTTTTTACGTAATTAACGCCGCGAATAAAAGGAATTGATGTAGATAATTTCTAAGAAATTAGTTGTAAGAAATATTTCAATATAAATATATTTATACAAGAAATAAGAATTGTAAGGAATTTGCATATTGTATACATACATGTATGTATGTATATATGTATGTACTATACGTGTCACATGAATTTTGTAGATGGTACTTTTATGCATTTTGTGTCACGCAAATGAATATCCGGAGACGAAACAATCGAGACCGGGCGACGTCGATTCGACAACGGAATCTAACGAACCCCCGGAAGGATATTACGCTTTTGTGAAGTCGCCGAACGCGGAGCCGCCTAAAGTGAGGCCTCCACCTTACATAGACAGCGACAAAGAATGCCACGGTATGCGTTTTCAAAATCTGCCACTTTAGTTTCATGCGTCATCAATGAAGAACTGCAAATTATTCTCTGCTGCTTCCAACCATATATAAATATATACATATACGTATATAAATATATACATATGTAAATACATACATATACATATATGCATTCACACGCGCGCGCGCACACACATATATAGGGTATCTCATTTGAATCTATAAATGAAATTATGTTCCATTCGTTATTTAAAAAAGTGTTTCAAATGCATTTTTCTCTGTTTTGAGAGGAAAATAATTTGGTTTACGTATCTCCTACACATGTCTATCTGGAGACAAACTAAATGTACAATGTTAAAACAGAAAAAGTATTTGAGACATACATTTTTTAAATGACGAATAATTTTGGAGATAATTGCATTTATAGTGTATACAGGATGAATCATGTAACTAGCAAACCTTTTAAATTCTGTCTCTAATGAAGAATTGTTTAATACAAAAGTTATATAGTTTCAAAGTGAGGCAAAACATGGTGTATCAATTTTGTGTGTGTTGAAGTTGATTTCGAAATTTCCAAGATCAGCTTTACTTTTTCTTTTTTTTTAATTGAACCATATATCTTCCACAAGTCGAAAGAATATTAAATTCCAAGTGAAAAAATGTTAGTATAAAATTAATTGATAAAGTATAAAACACATATTGCACAAAAAATTAGTACGCCATATTTTGCCTCCCTATCAAACTTTTGTATCAAACAATTTTTCATTAGACGCATAATTTAAAAGTTATTTTAGGTGTACAAGTTATGTGAATCACTCTCTCTCTCTCTCTCTCTCTCTCTCT